TCATCTTGTAGCCTCCTACTATCATCCTCAGTTTCGATCCTGCTCATAATTTTGCATCATCAGCAAACATTGAGAGAAACGATTCTATACAATCTGGGAGATCATTTACATATATCAGAAACAGTATAGGTCCTAGGACTGACCCCTGCGGGACTCCACTCGTAACGTATCGCCAATCTGAGACCTCACCCTTCACACTGACTCGTTGTCTCCTGTTGCTTAGGTACTCCTTTATCCAATGGAGTACCTTCCCTTTCACTCCAGCCTGCATCTCCAGCTTTTTCACTAGCCTCTTGTGTGGCACTGTATCAAAGGCTTTCTGACAATCCAAAAATATGCAGTCTGCCCACCCTTCTCTTTCTTGCCTTATTTTTGTTGCCTGGTCGTAGAATTCAAGTAACCCTTTGAGGCTGGACATGCCATCCCTGAACCTATGTTGATGCTGTGTTACATAGTTCTTTCGCTCCAGATGCTCCACTAGCTTTCTTCGCACAATCTTCTCCATCAGCTTGCATGGTATGCAGGTTAGGGACACTGGTCTGTAATTCAGTGCCTCCTGTCTATCCCCTTTCTTGTATATCGGGACTACGTTAGCTGCTTTCGAAATTTCTGGCAGTTCCTCTGTTGCCAGTGATTTGTAATACACTATGGAGAGTGGTAGGCGCAGTTCTTCTGCTCCTTCCTTTAGTATCCAAGGGGAGATTCCATCTGGGCCTGTCGCCTTTGTCACATCCAACTCTAGTAAACACTTCCTTACTTCTCCGCTGGTAATCTCAAACTTTTCCAGTGGTTCCTGGTTAGCTATTCCCTCTCTTATCTCTGGAATTTCTCTTTGCTCTAAGGTGAAGACCTCCTGGAATTTCTTATTCAGTTTCTCGCACACTTCCTTGTCGTTTGTAGTGAATCCTTCTGCATCTATCCCTAATTTCATAACCTGTTCCTTTGCTGTTGTTTTTCTCCTGATGTGGCTGTGCAGCAATTTAGGCTGAGTCATTGCCTTGCTTGCGATGTCATTTTCGTATTGTCTTTCTGCCTCTCTTCTCATCCTGATATATTCATTCCTGGCATTCTGGTGTCTTTCTCTGCTCTCCAGTGTCCTGTTATTCCTATAGTTTCTCCATGCCTTTTTACTTTGCTGCTTAGCTAGCCTACATCTCTGATTAAACCATGGGTTTCTCATCTTCATTTCACTGTTTTCCTTTTGGACTGGGAGAAACTTATTTGCTGTGTCCTTGCACTTCTGCGTGATGTAGTCCATCATATCTTGGGCCGTCTTTCCCCTAAGCTCTGTTTCCCATGCGATTTTTTGTTAGAAATTTTCTTATCTCCTCATAGTTTCCCTTTCGGGAAACTAAACCCTTTATGCTTAACTTTTGGTTTCGGTATCCCTCCTCGAGTTCATTAACCCTTCTTCAATCAGGTACTCAAACACCAATACACTGTGGTCGCTCATTCCTACTGGGGCCTCAAAACTGATTTCCCTTATGTCGGAGTCGTTCAGAGTGAAGAAGAGTTCGAGTCTCGCTGGTTCATCATTTCCTCTCATCCTTGTGGGTTCTTTGACATTCTGGGTTAAAAAGTTTGTTGATGCAAACTATCTCGCTATCACCTCCAGTAGTTTGGCTCTCCACGTATCCTCGCCTCCATGCGGTTCCTGGTTCTCCCAGTCAATCCTTCTGTGATTGAAGTCCTTCATGATGAGCAGGTGGGAACTATTTCTACAGGCAGCAGAGGCTGCTCTCTCAATTATAGTGTTAACTGCCATGATGTTTTCGTACTCTTGACTGGGTCTTCTGTCATTTGTAGGAGGGTTGTATATTACTGCTACTACTATTCTTGGTCCTCCCATTGACATGGTGCCTGCTCTGTAGTCTCTGAACCCCTCACAGCCCGGGATAGCCATCTCCTTAAAACTCCCTTAGTTCACTTGTCTTGCTTGTGATCCCATCTAAGTTCGAGTACATCACCCTGAAACTGACTCTTTTCTGCTTCTCCTCTCGGGGGGGGGGGGGGGGTTACCTGTGGGATGTTGGGTGAGTGGCAGCTGGGAGGATCTGGTACGTGGAGACAGGTGGAGGAGGAAGGGCTTGGGGGGTTGGGGGAGAGGGGATGGGTGAGCGGGGGGAGGGTAGGGGGGAGAGTAAGAGGGGGAGGGTTGGGTGGGAGAGTGAGAGGGGGAGGGTTGGGGGGGTGAGAGACGGAGGGTTGGTGGAGCATGGGGGGAGGAGAGGCTTTGGGAGAATGGGGCAGAAAGGGGGAGGGGGTGGGGGGAAAAGGAAGGCTGAGGTGGGCGAGGAAGAGGGGATGGTTTAGGGGAGTGGTGGAGAGGGGAAGACTTAGGTGGGGTGGGGGAGAGTGGGGGCTTAGGGGGGGGGGAGAAGGGAGGGCTTGGGGGATGGAGGAGAAGGGAGGTCCTGGGGAGAGGGGTGAGTGGGAGGAGGGGTGGGTGGGGGGAGGGTGCCCTAGGTGGTTACTTAGTGGGGGGCTGACAGGGGATGAGGCAGGTAGGGTGTCTATTGGGTAGAATGTGGGGGTGGTGCTCCACTCCCTGTGACTGTTGCACTGTTTGAGGAGGGTTCCCCACTCCCCTCTGGGATTGTAGGGTTCAGGGTTGTGGTTCTCTAATTCCTTTCTCTCTCCCTGCACTCTTTCTTCACATCTGCTGCCTGCTTTCTCTCTTCCTTTGTCATATCCCTCTGCAGGAATACTTTTTTGAACTTCTGCACATTTGCTAGACAGCTCTTCCTTACTAACAGTTCCTCTTTCGTGATTTCGCTCATGAATACCACCTTTATCATTCGGTCTCTGTCCTTGTTGTACTTTCCAAGCCTGAATACCTTTTCAACATTTTGGTCAGTTTCCTCCATCCTTACCTCTTTAAGGATCTCAGTAACTATGTTTTTGTCCTTGTCTCTCTGTGTCTTTGGGCTGGTCTCTGTTTGCTCTTTAATGCCTGCTACTACTACTGCTCTTTTTCTTTTTATCAGCCGGCTAGTACATCTAGCTGCTTCCTGAGAGGAAGCCACTTCCATATCAACTTCTCTAACTGCAGACTTAGCTTCAGAGCTCTTTTTAAGCATTTCAGCAAATGAGAGCTGAGTTGAGGAGGTCCCCTCCACAGTAACATTCATATCTCCCTGAGGTACTGTTTGTGTCTGGTATTACGAAGGAGTCTCCTTCAGGCATCTTATCTTCTCCTTTGCAGCCCTTAGTTCATCCTGCAAGTTGGCTACTGTCTTCCTCATTACCCTCAGTCCTTCACTGAATTTATCCCGCATTTGCTGGAATACTCCCTTCATCCAGTCTTCCTGTTCTACCCCATCCTCTGAGTTTCTTCCAGCCACGATTGTCCTCCTGCGTTTGTCACCCCGAGTTCGTGTCCCTGCCATGTTTTTTCCTATGAGAGAGAG